AGAGAGAGAGAGAGAGAGAGAGAGAGAGAGAGAGAGAGAGAAAGCTCAAATTTTACTCACTTATTCAATCCGTCCAGATTGAGTATACCAATCTCGCCGAAAAAGTCTCCGGCCTTCATTGTCGTAAGAACTCTGCCAGTTTCGCTGATCACCTCCAGAATACCGTCGGCTATTATGAACATCTCACGGGCGACCTCGCCCTTCCGACATATCGAATCACCGGGGGTGAAAATGTAGGCCTTCATCTTTAGGACGAGATCGTGCAAAAATTCCGGCTGGCACTCCTGCAAGACAATTACGGATTATTCGCTCGAGAGACTTGCGAAATTATGTACATAGGATGCTGAAAAGTCGTTGAGAATTATGAAAATTCTCCGCCGCCGGTGACAAAACGAGATTCGAGTTTTAACGGGACAGCAGCCGGATCCGGATCTTATTACATCGGCTTTAGAATTTTTAAGGATGGAAATTCCACTCGGTATTGCCGACACACACCTCGCAGTCATCTTAAAATTTAAAGCTTCTACATGATCTGCATATAAAAAGATAATTTATGAAGACTTAACGCGCGTATCAAGCATTCGAATTTTTGCTTCGAGCTCCCTTTTGTCATGTCTCCTTTACTTCGCGTGAATGTAATTCATATCTTTGCCCATAAATCTTCCGTTAATCACGGAAAAAAGCTTTCCTACTTTATTACTATAATTAATGATAAGTGCTTCTCGAGAGGCGTTTATTTTTACTTACATACCTGCGTTGCGTTCAAGTTTAAGTATTGTAAAATATCTTGTCATTCATGTAGTTTCTGAGAAAAAAAACTTAGAAATTATAGATAAATAAAAAAGTATTATATATATACTGTATATATTAATATATATATATATATATATATATATATATATATATATATATATATATATTATCTCGGAGAAAGATGTTTCTTGAGAGAAATCATTATTTCATCTTTACATCAGATAATATTTAAAATAAACTTTTATCTGACGAAAATGAAGAAGCAAGATATTATCGAATAATTGATAGTTTCATATTCGATTTGTTACTCGATATTTCACACGAAAACACCCTACTCGTGGCCGATCGCAAGATGCGGAATATCCTGCACACCGACTTACGTGCGTATATGTACAATAACTGCGAATTGCATCGGCGTCTTTCTTGCCGGGCGTTTTAGCGCACGAATTAGATTATCTGCCACGCCTGTTCCGTGTTGTCCGAGCCGACGTCGACCTCACTGTTCGCGTCGACCTCCAGGAGTCTCGGGGTCCGCAAGATCTCGGATTCATAAGTCCACAAATCTATGCTGACACGAATCCATTGATCTTGACGCTCTAATCTCCGCGAGGTTAAACTTCCGCGAAAGTGCAAAGTTCTCTTACGAAAGAACTTCCTCGCGTCCACGGGGGTGAGTTATGGATAGACGGCGCAATGCCGTCTATCTCGGCGTTCTGGACAGGACGTCTCGCAGCTGTTACGCCTACCTCTCCTACGCGATGTATGTCGCCCTACCTTCATCGACACACATCGACGCGATCGCGGTGGATTTGTAGATTGCAGCAGATCGACGCGGAGGTAACGCGGGCACACGGAAAGGGCAAAACGAGACGGGCAGGCGGGAAGCAGGGTGGAGCGACGTCTGCGAGATTACGGCCGGAACCTTTAGTCACATTTTGTTTCCCGCAAGCCCTTGACAGTCGTGAGACGACAGTCGTAATTCTCCGTGAGATACGGTTTCTTTTTCCCGGCTCGCGGAGAGTCCTTTGCTAATGGAGTCGCGATCTTTCACCGCGATATTTCATTCGACAGACGACATACACATAGCCGGCCGACGTTCTCACACATTCTCACGTCGCCGTCGTTCTCCGATTCGCGAGCAGAGCACGGCCGATGATCGGGGCTGTTACCCCCGAGAGCTCTTGACTTCATTCAGCCGATTTACAATGGACCTCGTTAAAACGCAGTCGCGGCGCGTGGGTGGAAAAAATACGGGATGTCCGTTTGAATCGCGGTGTCGCAAATTGGAGTATTCTTCGAGGGCGGACGTTGCCCGACTGTCGTTCGCCTCCGCGAAAATGTCGTCGACACGTCGACGAGTTGCTTCGCATCGCAAGCGCCGCAGAACGGAAGCCGTCTCGCGCATAGACGGTGAAAATAAGACGAGATTGTTGTCACTTATATTCGCGCTGTGTAAATTCTCACGGATATTTCAGTTTCCCGTTAGCGGTACTCTAATTCTGACTTGAACGATATTAATTGATGGTGAAATTATTGCAAAGACGTGACAGCTAGTTTTTATTATCTCATTCAAGCAGAGGACTTTTTCTCCTCGAAAATTCCATTTTGACTTCACTTTAACGAGATTTTAATTCGGGTCTTGCACAGGCAGCGGTACGTTTAATGATGAAAATGAGAAACTTGTGGAAATGGAGGCAGCGTCCAATCGGCATTTCCTTTTTCTCCCTTTTTTCTCTTTTTTTTTTGCTAAGAGAAGTTTGATTGAGTAGCGTTCGGAGAATACAGTTGTGTGTAACGTCAACCCGGGGCTACCTCGTGCTTTCCCCGAAACGTTCGATGGCCATCGTCGAGGGAAAAGCGGAATTGCGTGTCACACGGTTTGCTTGTCACAACTTTCATAACGTCCACCGTTACATATACTGCGAGCGAGTAAAGTCGCTCTTGCATGAAAAGCATTTTAAGTAAGTTCCGCGCGCGCATACAGTCACGGTCATGCGAATGTACGTCCGCCATTTCGTATTTCTCTCGCTCGCGAGTAATACCTCGCGATACAATTTCGTATAAATTTTAATTCTAAGCCATTGCGATGCAAATTAGCGGCGCCAACAGCATGATGGAATTGTGCATACGCGATATTTCGTGAGGGGTGCGGGGGTGTTTTAGTTTCCGATTAATGTCGAAGCTGAAACGACAAGGACCGCGTAGGGCAAATACACCGTATCGTATATTTGCTCTGGAACATCTGAAACGAATACGCGATTTTCGTTATTGGCCTTTGGCAACAATCGCGGTGCTTACATTACTTTCCGGTTTATTCGCCGTGTTGCGTTCCATCTGCGTGTTGATATTTAGCAAACACCGGTTGGCCGGAGCGAAGTCGCGGGACGCTCTGCACTAATCTGTCTGGACAGCCCTCTCTAAACTTTTGGCAACGAAATGCTTCTGTGTTCGCAAGTTTGCATAGCGCGCTCCCGTTAACTCTGCACTCCACATCGTAGTGAGTGTCTTGGTGCCGCCCCAATGCGAAATTTTCGACAGGAACGCACCGCGTTAGGAAATATTCGCGCATTATTACAACTGTTTTTCGTCGAAAAAAAGGAAATATATTTTCTTGTAAAAAATTCCTCATTCAAAATTTTTTGAAATCGAATGAAAATCGGATGGAAATAGTCAGAGTCTTCTGAAACAATACAATATAAAAGAACACATGGAAAATACTGCAAGTAAACTCGAAATCGCAAGAGTGAATATTTCGCTTAAGCTTAGAGTCAATTCAGACTCCATATGAGCGAATACTTCAATCGATTAGAATGGATAGACTTCTGTGATGATGGAATCCGTCAGATTTTTAGAGTGGAATTTGACCGCAAATGAGCAAATGTCAAATCGATTAGAGTGGAATATATTCCTGTGACAGTGGAGTATATCAGATTCACTCTTCAATTCCGAGTGAAAATACTCACTGGACGATTTAGAATGTAAAATTCATTCTATGTGAGTGAAAAATCACTCGAATTCACTAGGCGGTCGATCTGCTTTTCTAATAAAGTTTCACTTCGAGAAATTAATAGTTTCCGAGAAAGTAATAAATAGAATGGCGGCATCGTCGAGATTTATAGAGTATGTAACATCCAAAAGTCGACACAGTCACGCGATTCAGCCGACTCCTCTCCGCTTGTTCGCGATTCCACATCGTGGAGCTCTTTCATTTTCCTCAATAAGATGCAGCGAAATCCGTCAGATTGCTTAATTACAGCCAGAACGCGCACGATTGCGAGAGAATAATCAGTTTTATATGTCCGTTCGGCTCGCGAAGCAATTAATCAGAAGCCACTTTCGAGATGCATTGTAGGACCGGGGCGCACGATGGGTTAATGAAAGGTGATTACGAGGCATGGACGAGGGGTCAAGGGGCACTCTTGTTGAAACGGGACGTGTGGCCGCAATTAAAAGTGGCGTAGACTCGCCAATTACAGGCGGCCGTAATGGTACCTACTGCAAAATTTCTCCCCGCCGATCGCGCGTCTGTCTACCGCGCTCTACTCGTCTCTCGTCCTGTCGCACTTCCGCAGGGCTGAAATAAAGGGATTCGATGGATTTACGCGGGCCGCAGATAGCGCTTTAAAGCCCGCGATCCGAGGTATCCTCTCAATCTAGATTCGCCGCACCGTGAACTTCATTATCTCCGCTGCACGGTGTATCTCGAGCGCGCACCGTCGCGCATGCAGCGAGAATAAACGCGCTTACTCCATCGGGATCTCTTCGAGGCGACGACTGAATCGACCATAGTTATGCAAGAATGATCCAACCTTAATGAGAAGTGTATCTTGAGAAAAATGGAGATGAAAATGTGATGCAAGGTTTAAAAGATATAGATAGCACTTGAGATCGCGTTCTTCGCGATTATTCAAGACGTTCAAGCATGCTCAATTTTCTGCTCTTTAAGAGTACTTACTGAAACAAGCTCAATCCTTAAAAGAAAATTAGTAAAAAAGACGTAAAAAATCGCGCAATTAATAGAAAGTAAAAACTGCTTTTTAATTAATTACGCGCCAATAAGATTTGACCTTTTTTGTTTCATGTAGGTTTCATATAGACCACCCATTGGCAACAAAAACTCGAAAATTATAATTTTGTGAGTTGGATCCCTCTTGCACAATTATGGTCAATTAAAATAAAAATATTAATTCCCGGAGACGTGTCTAATTCTGAACATTCTATTGTCTTACAAGTAAACCTACCCAAAAGTTACACTCCGATTTCTTCCCAATTTAGTACAAATGTAGAAGTACAAAAATTATTTAGGTCATATTTTTTCATTTTGACCTACTTTGAGTTTCACGAGCAGTTTATAGCTTTTTTCCACATAAAATCATTCGATTCCACTGTGAGACGTCGGCGGTCGGAAAAGTGGCGCAGTTAGGGTTCTTTCGGTCCGGTTGCGTGTTGGGCGTAATTTACTTTGATATTTTATTACGTTATCTTGCTTTGTTCTCTTTGCCCCGAGTTTGCTTTGTTTTTATTTTTCCGC